TTCCAATGGATCTTCAGTTACTCCCAATGATGTATTCTCGATTTGCATTTTGCATTTTTGTGTACGTAGCCTTTCATCTAGTGTTGATGTTTTTTTTCTGCTCATGAATATTTCTGTCACTTCTCGTGTAATTCCTGCAGTGATTTATATCTAAGTGTCGTAAAATATTTTTGAAAGAATACTTACTTGGCTTTAAATGAATATTTTAATCTAGACACTAATAAAACTTAATAAAAAATTAAACAAATATCAATAAATCAAGTCATTATGATATGTACAATTGATATAATTGCTAATTTATTTGATTTGAACCTATATGCAAAGCTTGCAATATGTTACAATGTTTCCAAAATAATCATGAAATTCATCTCAGTAAATGCATTAGCAAGATTTAGTTTACTGTCAATCTAGACTACCTAATTTATCCTATTCATGTTTGCAAATAATTTAATTACTATTGATTAGCTCAAATTGGTTTTTTTCACTATAAATCATCTAAATCACAACCAGATGTAAATCATTTTGATTATACTTATAAATTTTCACAATATGATTGGTTGATTCATTTAACTTCTAAGCATGTTCAATCAAATAGTTGTTCTTTCATTAATTTTAAAATTCATAAACTCAACTTTTATAAACAATCAAGCTATGTTCTTAGTCAATGTATGTATTCAGTTTATGTATGCAACTTCAAGTTCAAACATATAAGTAGTTGTAGATTTCTTGTTTTACATATAAAATTAAAATTTATATGAAAATCAAGGATTTGACAATGAATTGTTTGTTTCATTATCAAGATAATTTTTTAAAATAAATCCGTCTATGAGAATTATATATTTTTAGCACTTTCCTTTCAGAAATACTTCTCAAGATGATTACATTCGGATTACCATAAAAAAACCTTGTTAATATTCATTAAATGTAAAAATAAAAAATTCACAATTACATCTAAATAGTAAAAAATTCATATATAACAAGTGAAAAATAGATGTCATTTTAGTTACAACAACGTTTCTGTGTGAATCTCTTGACCATCAATCTAGCTTGTAAATCTTTCCTTAATCATTAGTATTATGCATATTTATTCATTGTTTCAGTGTTTAAACTTAACAAATTTATTATGTTTCTAATTTTGTCATTGATTCATGATTTAATTTATTTTGCACTGTTACATTGAATCTACCAAACACAATCTAAATATCATTGTATGAAAATATTTTTATAAAAAAATCATAGCATCGTCATCTCTTAACCAAGCTAAATCATTAACAGTACATCTGAACTTTTTTTTATGTTGATGATTGAGTTTGATTTTTACATCTTGGCATGTCCCAAAATTTTCCACTTTCTTTGTAGTCTAACCATTCTCAACTTGAAATTGTTTTATACTTGTAACATAATCTTTTTTGTGATTCATTGTGAATAAAACCTTGAATTATTTTTATCAATAATTTATTGTGCAGATTTATATTTTATCAATATAAAAATGTGAATTACGTTTTCTTTTTAGATGATTCAAATGTATTGAACTTTTTTCTCAATATCAGCTAACATATGAGTGAATTTCACAATCAGTAATCCTCTACACTAATTTGATATTCAAAAAAATTGTATTTTGTGGAAATAAGATGTAGCTTAAATAAATAAAGATTAAGTATAAGAGTGTATTTAATGCATACAAAGCAAACTCAACAGTCTTGATTCACTAGTAGTTTGTAGCTCTACTCATATTGATATACTAAGTTTTGACATAAGACTTATAATGATTTACTGATAATGGTTTTGTGTTTAAAACATGAAAAAAAAAAATTTGTGACGATTTGGATTGATTTCAAACAAGAATTATCCAATCTAAATTTTTTTACTAGAAACCTTGACAAAGTTATTTTTCTATAGGCTAAATATTATAATGTGATTATGTGATATTTAATTGTATTGACAGTAGAACTCAGTTTTTATGATTGATTTTTGGTATTTGAAACATGGAAAAATTCTCATTTTATTGATAATTTTAGCATCTCAACATGAGCATTTTACTTCTCAAAAAAAAGAAGATATAAGACTCCTGATGTATGAAATAAATGCCTATTAAGAATAACTGATGTAATATATACAAGTAAATATTTTTAAATTAAAAAGTAAAATTTCTTTCAAAGAACTGTTTGCAATCATGTGTTTTCAAATCCAAAAATTTTCATGCTTTGTTTTTACACACATATTTACATATTATTGTTGTACATGTTACTTTTATTAATTTGACCTAGCCTTGTAATCACAATTAATCACCATCATTTTTGTACATAAATCACCATGCAAGAAATGTTATCTTTTAGCATAGAAATTTTTTGATATTAAAGAATTTTTTTATCAATCATCATTTAAAATTTATCATACATCATTTTTTATTGAAAACGGCCTATGCATCTAACAAAACAAAAAATATTGATATTTTTTTATCACAATTATGTCACAATCATACATGATATTAGTCAACGTGTGCAAATAATAATTTATATGTAAATCTTCAAAGATCTAAACTTTTCAAATCAATGGGTGTAATGAATCCCTTTCAACATTCAAACGTTTGATATAGAGTAAAAAACAAAGTATTATTTTTCATAGCACAAATAATAAGAAAAGACATTATACATGATGCAATCAATTCTAATTTTTTGATATGTGTTATAATTTTTTTTTATGAATTTAAGCTACATAATAACTTATATTAATGATTGTTATCATTAAGCTTAGCTTTTATCAAGTATGTCATCTTTATCTTTATTGTCATTGTGACTATACTTGCAAAATAAATTTACCTATTCTTATGATAATATTGCTGGGATGGTCATTTTTTCACATATTCTAGAAGGCTTTGATCTTGATTTAATCGTAGATATTTATCATAAAAGAAATTGGCATGGTATTGTTTAAATTAAATGCTTCATTTATAAAATAAATTTCAAATAAATCATTTTAAATTTTCTCTTAGAATCATTTATGAACAATAAATTCATCAAATTGCTATCTGTAATAAATTTGTCTAAGATGTGACATTGAAAATTGTGATCAAATTTGGCAAGATGTGAAAAATAAACTCAACAGGTAAATATTTTTTTTCAACTTTCAACTCATCCAAATTTGCAAGTCTTGCAACAAGATTTTTTTTAATATCGATATGATTTTTTATTTAGTTTATAATATTTTATTTAAAAAAATCTGGTGTGTGTAATTGTACAAATTTTTTGTTTAAAAAATTATTAAGAAAAAAAAAATCTTTAAATTCATGGAACTGCTTTATGATATAAGGTTTTAAATATAACATCATCAACTTTACATTATCTTATCATCAGATGAAATGCTTTTTTGATTGGAAATTTTTTTCAATACTTCGAATTTTAGCATGAGTTTTTATATGAAATTTTCATACAAGATAGTAAAAATGTCTGTAATATTTTTGCAATGTCAAAGTTTATTCCATCCGTCTTCATGGTTTTCATGTTACTAAATTTTTACTTTTACTTTCTTTTACTTATTTTATTTAACATCGGGAAAAACCTCTACATCACATTTTTCACAATCTATTTCATTCTAATTGAAATTCCAAAGAAAAATTTTCTGCGAAATAATCAACATATTTTATTCTCAAATTAAATTTAAAATTAAGATATTCGTTTGACAAGATCTTTGACAATTTTTGAGCTTTTATAAAAAACTGTTTAGACAGTATTGAAATCTGTAAGAGTGCTCTATATGAAGTACTAAATGTACAATAAAACTTCCCAAATGAAAATAAATGAGTAATTTTTTTAGAAAATGAATAACTGACCAAAAAATCATAAAGTGTTTCAAATTAAATAATATATTTAGATTAAGTGTTGTGAAACCAAATTCATCATATGGATTTATAGTTCAGATAAATCCATATGATTTATGTAAACTATGAATGAAATACAGAAGAAAATTAACAGAGATAACATAGATGTTGATCGGATAAGAAAGTTTGAAATTACATCATAGAACTGGGATTTCATTTAAGCATGTTCCATATATGTATAATATGGGGGCGTGATGCATTTAATGAGTCATGTACCATGTGACTAGATGAAGTGAAAATATAACACTAACACGAAAGTTAGTACCGAAAGCGTAAGCTAAAAATTATGTGCATCATAAACTACAAATCAGGGGTCAAATGAAAGAGCAACAAGTGTGGAAACCATATGCATCAAACCTGAGTACCTGAAGGTATGATAGTTAGAAGCCGAGTAATAGCTAGTCAGGAGGTAAATATGTTCTGTTCAAACATAAAAATTATAAAAATACTTTTGATTGTACAAGGTTTTGTCTTTAATCTTAGAGTGGAACTTGAACTTGTGTGAGATCTCCGCAGTTTAATTAGATTCAAGCAATAACCAAATTTTTTTGAAGCAAAATGAAGAAGAAGGTATAAGATTTCATGCCTTTAGTATCATCATTTCTAAAGCAAGAGCTACTAATATATAAGATGGATGTCGATACTCTTTACGTGAGGCTATTGTTTCACTTGAACAATGAAATAGCGCGGAAGGTGTGCAGAATGCCCCACTCAAGTCGGATTACTATGTCGATGTTCACAAAAAAAAGTGTGAACAAATTGAGAAAAGGTGTGCAGAATGCCCCACTCAAGTCGGATTACTATGTCGATGTTCACACAAAAAAGTGTGAACAAATTGAGAAAAGACTATTGCAAATAATCTGAAACTTCAAAATGTCGTCTTTTTTTGGACTTTGGAATGAACGTATGCGTGTAACGGTATTCTCTTTAAGGAAACCACATACATACTGAAGTTTGGACTATGCTGTTTTCACGACTGAGAATTGTGGGTGTTACAGAAGTGAGTAACAACAAGAACACTTCGGTATCTACACCATTCCATGTGGTTAATGTTACAGCCATATTGAGAAAGAAATACAAAAGGTGCATTAACTTTGGACCAGCACTTTGGTCGTGTCCTCTGAATTTCATTCATACCAGGAAGTCAGATTCACACTACATGACGCCAATGGATGACGTAAGCTCTTCAAAGAGACCATAGTAGAATACAGAGCTGTTACCTGAGGTTGGCTCTTGTATTCATGCAATTCATTTAAGAAACAACGAGGAAGGAGATTTCGGCCTTCAAAAATAGTGCGCGTGGGGAAATTGTAAAAAAGTAACGGAATGATTATTCGAGTTCTGCATCTTCTCTACTGCGAGTCCTACCTTATTGGACATCATTCTCGTACGTGACGCTCAGTGGATCACTCAGTCCCTTTTCCTCGACTCTAGTGTAGGATGGTCTATGGACTCCGAGCCCCTTTTCGTCTGTCCAGGTCTGGATCTGAAGGACGGGTCCTGGCTAATGTCCGAGGGCCGATCACCTTAATTATTCCACAACGGAAGCGCGTCCGAAAACTATGCCGCGTTATAATCCGTCGCCCCTTCCGAAAGGCTCCGATAGATATCGCGGGGAGGAGAGCAGCGACAGCAATGGCTGCTCTCACTTTGAGAAACGACGTCTGATAGCGTTAGCGCGTAGAAAGCTCCAAGCCATGCAAAGGAAAAGCATCGTCTGATGGGGAGGAGCCGTCCTCCTTTCGAGTTCATCGACGTAGAGAAAGGAGAAGGGAATGGAAGGTTTGAAGATTCCCCCATCGGCTCCATCATGGAGCGATGGCGGAATCGCAATGACAATCCCAATCCCAATCCCGCGTTCTCAAACACAAACCATCGGAGGAACTTTGAGACGGGCCGACCCACGGGTCCTGGAAGCTCTGGAGGAGTCCTCTCCAACGCCGCGTTCCGAGATGTAAACCATCAAAACCAAAAGAGAAAGCTGCCAGCCATTTTGGAAATATGGAGACGAAGCAGTGAAGCCCCCTGGCGCTGTCTGTCGGTCGGTCGGAAGAAATAGCGCCTCCCCTCCTGCTCTTCTTTTGTTCAGAGCACCTGAGTAGCGCCGCGCGCGTCCGGAAGTGGGAACCGGTATTTGCGGCCACCACGAAATTCTGGGGATGATGAATGCGAACCCCGGAAATAGTGAACGACCCTTCTTCTTCTCCGTGTCGAGAGCATCTGCATCTGTCACCAGCGCTTTGTATTTCGTGTACGTATGATCTCCTCTTTCGGGGCCCGGCTATCTGCTGCTGCAGAACGCGCTTGGGGGCCGCGTTCGCAAGCCCCTACTGCTCCCCTTTCCCCTCTCCCTAGAACGATTCTGGCTTCGCATTTAGCCATGTTCACTCTGCCCGGCACGTTCCATGGACTGTGCGGCTCTTCACAACCTTCTCTTTTATTTCGTTGGTTCGTTGGTGACGTCAAAGAGGCTCTGCTGTCCAAGCACTATGAGGTCACGGCATGCAAGGCTAATGTGACTCCATGCATAATCTGGCATGCTAATCATAAACTTAGTTTGGGAAACTTAGTGTGGACATTTGTGTATACTTATTGTAATTGTACAGGTAATTTCCTTGAGCTCTCTTCTATCATCGTGGCTATTCACAAGAACCGTCAAGATTTTAAGATTTGTCGTAGGTACTCAATCTGGAAATACTTTGGAATCAACTCTCTTTTCTGTCACTCATTACTGATATTTTTTCTATCTTTATACGTGGACATCATGTATAGGGGTACGTCAATATGTGAGATCTTCGTGACTTAAGCTATTTATGCTCTCTTCAACAAATTGTTGACAGTGGGTTGATTTCACTCGATAACGGGTGTCTCATCCTCTGTTACTTTATCATAAATCGTTGACTGTGAAAAAAAAACATGAGTCTATTCTCAAAAAAAAACATAGGCTTCCGTTGCCTATTCCAATCACCCTGTTTGAAGATTTTCTAGATGTTCTGCCCACTTGGTTTCATGAGTTTTGATATTGTATTGAATATTCCATCCTTCTTCATGTATAGATTGATTTTAAAATTAGAAAGCATATGTACTTACTGAAGAATGAACAAAGAATTTGTGAGAGAATTTAAAGTTTACCATAGTATACGGCGAACCCCATGTTAGTGTTTCGAGCAATTATTGAAATTTCTTCGCTCACCTAAAATGTAGTACTAGTCCCACATTCATGCAGCTTTGGAAACGTTTACTCGGAGTACACATTTTTTATTGTTGTCAGGACTGATTGATGGAAATTGATATAGGTCCCACAGTTTTTTTAATCCAGTTCACAGCCGTCCCAGCATAAATGCTCACACCTAGAAGCAAGAATAAGAGGCCCAATGAGTCCCCAGAAGGAACGACTCGACATAGAAAATTTTAATCTCTTAGTCCACTTGTGTAGTGTATCTGTTCGACATTAAACTTAGCGCTCAGTTCGCAGAAGATAATGAAATGTATTTTATGTACGAAATGAGATAGATTAGCATGTTCAAAGCTCCTATGTCTGATGTTTATTTATATCACGCATCCAACACAGACAACCTTATTCTATCTTTTGTGTTGAAAATATTATTACTTTGTTTAATATGTTTCTTCATACTTTCATGTCATCCTCCAAATCTGCAACTTGTTCCAAAAGTCAAATCTTTCGGTCGTCATATTATATATGGGTCAGCAATCCTGGTGTGATCTCCTCTGGAAACATTGCTGCCAGGATTTCGTAGGATAATTTAATACTTGCACGGATGACACCCGAAGTGAAGATTTTGTTCTAATTGTGAAATATATATATATATCCATTACAATCTATCTTACACTCACTAGCGCACAGGTAGACGACAATTGTGCCCAAAATATATTGAGAGATTGCTCCAGTTCTCCAAAACCTTTTTCGTATATGGGAAATCCTCCAATTCTAGTTGTTCATTGACTTCTTTTGTAGACAAGAATACTTATAACGTTATATGTTGAAAAAGGTCATTTTGCTGTGTAAGAACGCGATCCCATTCTAATTTTCTTATATATATATATCTTATTTCTTCTTTCTATCATTTTTTATTTGATTTAAATGTACTGAGAATTGCAATAACTATTTTTATTGTTGACTTACGCTGATATTAAAAGTTTTATAGAAATTTGTCCAAGTATGCTATCATATTTAATTACGAGGTTACATCAAACTTCATTATTTATGATATATAGTAACTTATAAATTATAAATCTCTAATGTTTTCTATAGATATATGGACAAACATAGTCTTATACATATAAAGAAGTGAAGTGTTAGTTATCACTCACTTAGGGGTTAATTAGCCCTCATCCTAGTATACGTAATTCTCTGATTGGTCGATTGCTACTACAAAGGAACCTATAACCCTGCATCTACCAATGAGAGAAGAGCATGGTCTAGAGTGACGGCTAATTAGCTCTAAGTGAGTGAAAACTAGCCTCTCCCGTAAACAATTGGTAAAGAGAGTACTATCAATTTGACGGGTACTATCAGCAAATGTCCACTCTTGACAGTTTTGCAATCTTAACATATGTGCTAGATTTAAAAGCTTTTGTTTTATATATAATCAAGTTTAGATTAAGTGATGTATGAAATTTTTGATGTATCACATACTTTATATAATTTGAAGTTACTTTTTTTACCGTCCGGATTATAATCTTGTCTTTATTGATATAGATTATAAAAGCACATCTTTTGAAAGAGTTACACGTTCCTCTATTCTTTAAGAATATGTCAACCCTTGTATGCTGGAAGTCATACCAACACTAAAGGAAGAGTAATTTCATGTGTATTAATCATTATTTGCTAACAAAAATCATGTCTTAAATTAAATAATTTCATGATCTTTCTCTTGAATAGAGAGGAAATAAGTTATCGAAAATATGCTGAAATCCATATGAAGCCATATACTTTCAGGTAGTATCCACAGTCACAAACGATGTAGATGGATGGATGCACCTCTAGTTCACTCTTCGAATTTAAATATCGGATTATCTTTAGTAGGAATAATCTCAGGTAGTAAAGGTAAAGTAGAGTTATAAATTGTAGAAAGTGAACAAGTAGAGCTGAGAAAATTCGTAGAGTGATTTATATCTTTCCTCAACTCTAAAATAGTTTAAACACTAATAAGAAACCAAGAGGTTGTATGGTGGGATTATATGGACAAATAAATTTCTAATAAAATGATGTTGTAGAACCACCATTTCTGTTTGTTTTTCCTAGAGCAGGGAGTAGGGGAACGGAGAGCCCGTGCAAGGAAGTCTTGAAAGTACCTTTCAATGGAATAGTGATATTAACGTTATTCTTGGATAGATTTTTTAGTAAAAAATTAATGGTTCTATGTTAATAATAAAAAGTGACACTATTGGGAGGTTTAATTTTAATTAAAAAAACCATGTATCCACGCACATAGGACCCATGAGATGAGCATAAACTCATGTATGAACATATGGGTAAAGATAAATTGGGACGATAAAGGAGCTGCACAGATGGCCAAACTGGGCAAAAATTTATAAATAGGCAATATTCCATCCATAATCTAGAGGAAATCAAACGTCCATCTGAATGGCTATTAATTGTCGAAGTTCATACTTGGACGAAGTGTTCATCCGGGGAGATACAGAGATCTACGTGGTACTGGAATTTCCAAGAAGTTACTGACAGTCAATGAGCCGTGGTGCCAACATCTCGACGACGATATTTGGGCCTAAAAGCCGCGGTACGCCTCTGCGGCACGAACAAAGCGAACAACAACAGCGAATCAGACGGAGAGCGACCGAGCGAGGGCCAGGGTACGTTGCGGGCATTGAAGCGGAGCTCGAGCACGTGTTGTGTGCATGCGTATAGTTACCTATACACATGGGGAGCTTCTGTACGAGGGTGGAAATATATATTCATTGTCGACAGAATATTAATTCCCAGACATTTGAATGTACATTGGCAGAGACTGATGCGATCAGTTTCGGTAGTCTGGGCTATGGGGTAGCCTTTTGGGCGTCATGTACGATGCGAGGCCTAGACTAGGTCGGTGTGCGAGATGAGTATGGGCATTTGAGGGTTAAATCATTGGTCAAGTGGGATTAGTGAGGCGATTCTGTGCATACATACCACGGGAGAAACTTTTCACGCCATGATATGAACTTACGATACATTCCCTTGTCTGACCCACTGGACCCTTACGAGGACGCGATTTGACATGTTTTGCATATGGCCTCGACCTGGTGCTTCGTTCAAGGCCTCGTGTTGTCCTTTCAGTTCTTTATTCTCTACCAGAGGATATGGATTGCCCGGAACTTGCCCTATCGGCCTTTCTGTTTCTGTAAAGAGGTTCTCGCACCTCTTTTTATAAACAATGTAGCCTCATCTGGCGGGGGAAAAGGGACATATCTCCCTCCCCATGAACGGAAACTCGAACACACTGTTCGACGGTGGAAGTAGTGCACATCCGTTTTGCTTGGTGCTGATTCAGTTTCTCCCTCTTACGCAAGAAAGAGCTTCCTTCTCCATTCATATAAAGAATTCTTGTTCCCCGCCGCGCCTTCCGACGGTATCGAAATGCTTCCTCGAAAATTCTCGTACGGATATTGTAGTATTTACAACATTCTCGGCTGCGAACCCGTGAACTACGTTTTCCTCCCCCACCTTGGAAGCTGAAAAGTGGGCCAGTTGGGTCCGAATCGGACCGCCATTGAGGAATGATTCCAGAGTTCCCTCCGTCACTCGAGGCAATAAAATACCAGAAAAATAATGGAAAATCCTGATTTTCGCATCCTCGATATATGAAGCTAAAATGTCGCGAGTCAGGATTCTTTCTTTCACTCTCGCGCTCGCTTGACGGGGAATGGCAGCAGCCGCTCTCGGTCTCATTTGAACATTGAACCTCCGAGATCGCCTCCTTATCCATAACACAAGTCTTCGAGCAAGGAATCCGCAGCATCTGAATCGAGTGCTGCGACGTCTAACTAGAGTTACCTAGAGTTACTCGACATAGACTGACTTGGTTGGCACGCGGGGTTGGGAGAACTCGGGACGCACGCGCTCTTTTCTTTTTTCTTTCTCTCTCTCTCTCTCGCGACGTACGATTCTTATAATTCGACCACGAGGCGTAGAGGGCAATTACTGCAGAGACCGGAGAATATTTCATGCGGATGTTCGTCGAAAGTCGAGCGAAGATTCCCGTGAAGCTCTCCTCCTCCCAAATCTCTGGAGATAAGTCTACAGTCTACAAACTCTAGACGGCATGTGCAGTTTGAACCATGGATGCGGGCCCCCAAAATTCAACGGGAAGGTTCAGTACTCAAGTGAGGACATCTTCCACGAATTTTACTGCTTTACTCTCCTTATCTTCACCTTATACATTGCTACATTTTTACGTTGCTCCTAGAAGAAGCCCTCGTTTGTCTGTCTCAGACACATGCATGCGCG